TTCCTACATCAATTAATTACTCGTTACCAGCCATGCATGTGGATCAAAATCCTTTGAAGACGTCCATTTTTTAAATTATTTCATTTTACTTATTCATTTTTCCCCATCAATTTTGTTTTATTTTTGAGATTTCAATTCCTGCCTTATAAGTTAATGTAGTCCAGAGTTTTATATAATAAAAGTTTCTTCCACCTAACTTTTGTTGTCTGAGATGTATTTAGAATACAAAATTTGCTTGCTAAGTTATTGTATATCAATGATATACAGTGATTTATTGTATATTGATATTGTATATCAAATATCATACAAATTTAAAATGGAAACCTCTTTTTTTTTTTTGAGATGGACTCTCGCTCTGTCACACAGGCTAGAGGTCAGCAGCATGATCTCAGCCCACTCACACCTCTGTCTCCCAGGTTCAAGCAATTCTTCTGCTTCAGCCTCCCCAATATCTGGGATTACGGGCATGTGCCACCTGCCAGGCTAATTTTTGTATTTTTAGTAGAGATGAGGTGTCACCATGTTGGTGAGGCTGGTCTTGAACTCCTGACCTCAGGTAATCCATCCCCCTCAGCCTCCCAGAGTGCTGGGATTACAAGCTTGCGCCACCATGCCTGGCCTGGAGCCCATTTTTAAATATATGCTCCTAACCCATTTTCTTATATCTTCATTCCTGCTTTGGGAAAGTTTTTATTCCTTCCATATTTTTATCTCCATAGTTTTGCTCATTCAAAAGTTATTTACATCTCTTTCACATCAGTGATTTTTTAAAATGGATATTTGGTGTTTGTTTTGGTATGCCAACACCTCCATATATTCTCATTTAAAAGCTTTTTTGAGAATTTGCTACACTACACTAAAGTGAAATTTGGATAATAATGTATAACTATCCAATTGTAACTATATCTAAATTTAACTTTTATTCCTTTAAATGTAACTTTATTGTATAAGAAATAAACTGTAGGGGTCTTTAAAAATACAAATGACTGCACATACCCTCTTGGCAATCTTATTTAGTAGTCTGGAGTCAAGTCTATTTATCTTTATTTTTGAAAAGTTCCTCAGAAGATGCACCGCCATAGTTGAGAATCATTATCTGTTGAAATGTGTAGAGTTATTTTTTTACTCTGAAGATGCAGTCTCATAAAGTTTTAGATAGGGTCTAGACCTTGGAAATTATTTGTACAACTCTAGAAAAGTGAAAGGACTCATTTCAGGCCTCACAACTGGACCATATGTAAGACTCTTTTCTTTCACAGGGAAGAACAAAACAACCTTCCTCATTATTTAACGCACCCAGTTCCTTTGGACAACTCCTCTCACCTTGCTCCGTAACTTATTATATTCTTCAATGATGTGTAGGTCAGGTGCTCCTGATACAATCCAGTGTGCCCATGGAGAACATCATGATGGAAATGCACAATTTTTTTTTTTTTTTTTTTTTAATTTATTATTATTAATACTTTAAGTTGTAGGGTACATGGGTGCATAACGTCAGGTTTGTTACATATGTATATGTGCATGTGCCTGTCTGCACCCATCAACTCGTCATTTACATCGGTATTACTCCCCATGCAGTCCCTCCCCCTCCTCATTGAAGCCCGTGTGTGATTGTTCCCCTTCCTGAGGCCAAGTGATCTCATTGTTCAGTTCCCACCTAATGAGTGAGAACATGCCGGTGTTGTTTCGTTTCTTGTGATAGTTGCCTAAGAATATGGTTTCCAGCTGCATCCCATGTCCCCCTACAAAGACACAACCCTCATCCTTATTTTATGCGCCCTGCATGTATTCCAATGGTGTATATGCTGGCCACATTTTACTTAATCAATCTGTCACTGGAAATGGACATTTGGGTTGAATTCCAAGTCTTGCTACTCTGCGGAACAGTCGCTGCAAATGAAACATAGTGTGCACTGTGCTCTTTATACGCCACATAATTATAATCCCTTTGGGGTATATACCCAGGTATGGGATGGCCTGGGTCATATGGACCATTACTTCCTAGATCTTGAGAATCCCCATACTTTTTCCAAATGGTTGAAACTAGTTTTACAATCCACCAAACAGTGTAAAAGTGTTCCTATTCTCCCCACATCCTCTCCAGGCACCTGTTGTTCCTGACTGTTTAATGATTGCATTCTAACCTGGTGTGAAGGTGGTTTCATTGTGGTTTTGAATTGCATTCTCTGATGGCAGTGATGATGGAACATTTTTCCATGTTCTATTGGCGTGTATGAATGTCTCTTTTGAGAAATGTCCTGTTCATGATCCCTTTGCCCTTCTTTGATGGGTTGTTTGTTTTTTCCTTGTAAATTTTTGATCTTTTGTAGGTTCTGGATATTAGCCCTTTGTCAGATGAGTAGATTGCAAAAATTTCTCCCATTCTGTAGGTTGCCTGTTCACTTCCTGAT